ATTTTTACTATTAAGAAATATAACTAAAAGCCTTTCTATTAGACAATTGGCAAAAAGGAAGTTGTGTGTGTATATATATATATAAAAGATTTATATATATATTTTTTTTAATTCTGACAATGTGTATTCCAAACTTTTTACCACTTGACCAAAATACTACAAATACAACCTCCATGTAACAGAAATGACATGACAATAAAATCTATTATCTCCCCATTTCATTTTATGATCTATGTTTATATTTGTGTAATTAAAATGAATCTCAAACAGGCACTTACTTCTGAACATGAAAACTTTTCCTTGTCGAGTTGCTCTCATGCTGTCAACAAAACAATTTGATTACAATTCTAAATATCCTTGACACATTGCAAAGTATGTGTCTATTTACCTTTAGTTCTACACTCTCCCACCTTCCATGTGGCTTATTGTTCTTGTGTCAGGAGAATATATATAAGCTTTGCCTTCCCGTGACTCCAGATGTGTTGGGCCATATAGTGATACCCGGGTTACCATGCACAGGAGAGGTGCGAGTCCAAGTGTTATCTAAGGAAGGAGGGAACAAGAGGCTAATTCATGGGCTAAGAATTCCATATGGTTTGAAGAATTACAACCAGAAGAAAACAATTTAAATAAAATTTTGAAAATGTACTGAAATTCATCCACATTCTGGCCTACAGAATATCTTTTAAAGAGATGTGACTGGGATACCAAAAACATCACCAAGTGGCAAATTTTGGTGAGATGTAATCTAAAGTTCACTTTTAAGATATAATAAAATGTCCAAATAAACAAGAAAGATTAATTACACAAGCCAATTTTTTTAAAGCGGTCAGAACAAGATATGAAGAGCATGATTCATTGTAAGTTATAAACAACTTTTTCCTAAATGCTTTTAAAGATGTAGTACTTACAAAATAACAATAAATAGCCATGATAGGACATAAAAACTGAGAATTATGACCAATCAGGGCAGGTAACATAACAGGTGAGAAACATTGGTTACTTTCTGTCACAGCCCAAGTTTTAAGTAGGAAGATTTGATCTAAATAAAAGTATAAGATGATAAGCATCAAGGATATAGGAATCGGAACATCATCTGCCTGGTACCAGTAATAAAAGAAAGTGTGATCGAACAACAATTTGCTAAGGGTTGAAAAGGTGGAGAAGCTATGAATCATGATACTAAACAACAAGTTCCATTTAGGGCAATGTCAAGGAATTCTGGGTCATTGAAAAGATATCTTTGAATAATAGGGACAAAGAGGATTGATGGCTTCCTTAGCGACTCAAAGTGGAACCAGTTGTGGAAGAAACTGACAAGACACAGAAAGAAAGAAAATGTTAAGAAGTTGGAGATAAACAAGATAAAACATGTCTAATGCACAAACTTCAGGATATATTTCATGACTGATAAACAGCCAAAGAAAAGCATCTGCAAAATAGGCATAGACAGCAAAAAATATTTTGGAAAATGGTTATTCAAGGTTGTCATGCAACATTATTTCCTGGTGATATTGGACATGTTTTCTCATAAAGAAATTGATGTGATGGGGAAAATCATGGTTGAGCAGGCCAAAGTTGACCAATGAGGAGAACCTGGCACTTTAAGTAACTGATCTTGACCAGGATCCAAGGAAGAAAGTATAGTGGAAGGTATGCATAAATGAAGAGGTTCTCCCAAAACTGACTCGGGGCATCCACTGCCAAAAATTTGGATGTAGAACTGGAGACCAAGTTTAGTAGAAGAAGGTAGTTGGTTGATGTGAATAAAGCATATAATATCAATCAACCCCAAAATTCATAAACCTACTGAATAACCAAAGAGTGAATGGTCCACTCTATGGGAAGACTGTAATGATCTCTAGAAAGAAAGTTGGCTAAAATGTTCACACCAGGAATATGACAGTCTTGAAGAAGAACTAGTTGAGAATAAATTGAAATATGTAGAGAAATTGCAGCAAAACAATTGTTGATGTAAGCAATCACAGTAAAGTTATGTATATTAATGAACACAGAATGGTGGTAAAGAAGGAGCAGAAACCTTAGAGGAACACATTGAACAGCTCAAAATTCCAACATATTGGTGTGACCTGTTGCTTCTTAAGAGATTCAAAACCAGAACAAGATTGATTCCTCAACACAATTCCTCTGTTTTCAAGAAAAGCATCTGTGAAAAGTAAGAAGAAGAAAAGGGCTCTGTAGTCAGACACCACTGAGAAACAAGGTTCTATTGAATGGTGACTTATGAGCACATCCTAAGGGAATAATTTCACGAATGGAAGTTGCCTTTCCCAAAATAAAACATATGTCTTTTGGTGCTAGTTCTAGAAAGACAGAAGTCTTGTAATGCTATAAGAAACTGCTGAAGCATTTCTTCAACTGTGTTGATCCATATTCCTAGATGTACTAAATACTGTGTTGGTACTAATTGGAATTTGGAGTGATGGATGATCTACCAAAGAGATGTAATCACTTGTGTAGTCAGATGAATGTGTATAAGCTACTAAGTAGAAGAAAGGCTCAGAATAAGCCAATCATCCACGTAAAAGTGAAAGACGATGTTGACATAATGAAGACCTTCAAACTAGTTGAAATGTATGGGGCCGAGTCAAAGGGAAAGAAACAAATGATAAGTCACCCTTGATGGCAAAATTTATGAGATGATGAATGAAATGAAATAGGAAGATAAAGCATCCTGTATATTTCCACCTTTGTCATCCATTGGCCTCATCAAGGAAACTTCCATAATATTCTCATCTTTTTCAGTTTGAAATGAGGTGTATCCAATGGAAGATTGAGCCAAGACAGGTCTTTAATCTCCCCTTTTCTTTGGAACTACCAATCAACAGAAGTAAAAATAGAAAGATATGTAGTAAACAATTTCTAGTGCTCCTTTTGGAAGGAGATCCAAGACTTCCTTATCCAGAAGTTGTAATAAACAGGATTGTAAGGAAGAGTAAAAACTAAGAGAAGAAAGAAAAAAGTGAAAGTAAAGACCAATCGGAAGTATCTGTTGAACACAAAGATCTCAACTGAAAAATAAACTAATAAGGTAAGTCAGCAAACATACTCCCTGGTCAGCAAATAAATCTGGGTTATGGTGGGAAAGCAGAGCTTATATGTGTCCTCTTGAAACAAGTACAATATGTCACATGGAAGAAGGAAGAGTGGAAAACCATGGGTAAGTTGACACATACTCTGCCTTGTGTCAAGAGCATTCAAAATTTTAGTTGCATGTTTGTTGATAGTACAGGAGAAACTGAACAAGAAAAGTCTTCTTGTATTTCAAAGGCAAGTCTGCCTGTTTTAAAATATTTATTATCAGGTTGGTATGGTACTTTTAGTAGATTATTCTAGTAAAACAATATAAAATGTAATTAGGAAGTTACCAAACTTGTATGTAATGTTTTTGCTTAATTATTGTAACTGTTACCTCCATCCTGTTTATTGTAACTGTTACCTGTGATTTTAGATCCAAAGACCATATTGGAAAATAATTACTGTTTAAAAAACAAAATACAAAAAAAACACCAGAAACCTAGCATCAGCAGTGTGTTTGACAAAACATTTTTTGAGAGAAAACATTATAATCTCAACAGTAGATAAACTGTCATCTTGTATATCATGTGATAAAGAAATATTGAAAAAAAAAAATTCACCAAAAAAACATGAAAAAAACACACACACAGGGGAAACAAAATCATTTATAATTTGCCAAAACTGTGCAGTAGTCAGGAAATAATCTCCTGATTATGTGATTCTAATTAGAACTGGGCAATAAATGGAACTTGCTAGTAGCTGAATTGTCAGGCTCATTAGTTGACTATGTTCAACTAATTGATTATTCTTTGATAGGTTGTTTAGGCAGAGTATTCGTAATGAATCTAAGTTTCAAATGGACAGCAACTGCCTGTTGTAGAAACCTACAAATGTAGAGGACGACGTTTTGAAAGTCTTCTGCCTTTCGTCTTCAGGACCTGAAGGTGGAAGACTTTCGAAACGTCGTCCTCTACATTTGTAGGTTTCTATAACAGGCAGTTGCTGTCCATTTGAAACTTAGATTCATAATTGATTATTCTCATGTGATGGCAAAAAAAATAACTTAAAATACTAAAAAATTGGGTTTTGATACCTGCAATGGACAGAGTACAGAAAGCTCACTGTGTAGCTTTGTGCTTAACAACAAACAAGTACATGGCCATATTTCAAGTTGGAATATCTGAAAACAGTAATTATTAAAAACACTAGTTTATTATTTTCATAACACCATCCTTAGTATATTCTGACAGAATTTATTGCCTTAAGAAAACACTTCCATTATTTTTTTCATAATATGTATCATTTACAGGAATATTTCTTTAAAGAGCTCTTTATCAGATAGAAATGAAATGAGTATCATTCCTTCTTCCAGATATCTGTATTGTTTAGCTCCATATATGTGTGTTTTAAGGTTGATATTTATATGTTTTGTAGTTTATTGTATTATTCATATGTACTGTATGTTTATTAATATCTTTATTTGTTGTATTTATCTTTTGATTATAGATCCAATGCCTTACATCAACAACAGTTGTGGAAAGGAATTTTTCTTTACGAAAACAGAAAATGGCAAATCTCAAAATCCAAGCAGTAGTAATGTGACTAGAAACATATTTTCAATGGAAAACCACATAAAACAAAATTGCATTCCCCATAATGGAAATAAAACTTTAAGTTGTGTAGTCTGTGGCAAATATTTTGGAACAAAGAGTCTTCTAAGAAAGCATCTGAAGAAACATCCTGGATTAAAACAATACAACTGTTCTATATGTGAAAATCAGTATGCAAGAAATAGTGACCTAAAAATACACGAGAGGAGACACACTGGGGAGAAACCATACAGCTGTGTCATGTGTGGAAAAGAATTTATAAGTAGTAGTAAGTTAAAAATACATCAGAGAGTACACTCAGGGGAGAAACCATACAAATGTGAAGTGTGTGGAAAAGAGATTGGAAGTAAAAACAGCTTAAAAATACATCAGAGAATTCACACTGGTGACAAACCTTACACTTGTGATGTTTGTGGCAAGAAATTTATAAGTAATAGTTCACTTAGAAAACATGAGAGGCTACATAGTGAGAAAAAATATATTTGTGTTGTTTGTGGAAAAGAATTTAAAAGAAGATGTCACTTAAAAATTCATCGACACATTCATACTGGAGGAAAACTATACAGTTGTGATGTGTGTAGCAAAGAGTTTGGTTCAAGTAATGACTTGGAGATGCACGAGAAAGTACACACTGGGGATAAACCATACACTTGTCTTGTGTGTAACAAAAAATTTGTAACAGTTAGTAACTTGAAAGTGCATGAGAGGATACACACTGGGGAGAAACCATACAGCTGTATAGTATGTAAAAAAGAATTTAGTAGAAATAACTATCTTAAAGTACATCAGCGAATACATACTGGAGAGAAACCATACAGTTGTGCTTATTGTGACAAGAAATTTGTTACAAGCAGTAGCCTGCAGGTGCATGAGAGGATACACACTGGAGAGAAACCATACAGTTGTGTAGTGTGTGGAAAACAATTTAGAAGAAATTGTCACTTAAAAATTCACCAGCAGATTCACACTGGAGAGAAACCGTACAGTTGTGCTGTGTGTGGGAAGGAGTTTGGAACAAGTAATGGGTTAGAGATGCATGAGAAGGTGCATACTGGGGAGAAACCGTACAGTTGTGCTCTGTGTAGTAAGAAATTTGGAACAAGTAGTAACTTGAAGGTACATGAGAG